TTTTTTTTTTTTTTTTTTTTGGTCCTTATAGATTGGGGGAAGAGGGGTAGGGATGGGACAAGGAAGTGAGGAAACCCAAGGAAGGTTTGAAACTTTGAACGCTAAACCCTTGCGGCACACCTTCCTTGAGAGCAAGTGCTCCCACTTGCTCTCAACCAACAGGTGTGAACAAGCGGGCTTTATGTTTTGAATTTCATGGTGCTATGGAGGTTTTGGAAGTGATTAAATCATGTTGACAGCCACCTCCATTCGGTACCCAAGAAAATTTATTTTACTTGACAAATAAAGTCGTGGGGTGGGACCCCAAAGGAAATGTTCACACCACCTGAGAGGTGCACACAGATCCTAAGAAATAGAACGATGGAATCGTACCCCAAAGGTACGATCTTTGCCCCTAACCCTTCGCAAAAACTCTACTTTTATCTTCTTTAAGTTTGAAGATTTTAACCACTCACTTTATATTATAATATTTTTAATCCTATTTTACTAAATTTATAAGTTTTAGTCCCTCACCTTATATTAAAACATTTTTAACACCTCAACTATTAAAATTAAAAAAAATAACTCTCAATTTGTAATATTTTGTTAATTCTGTTAACTAACTGTTAATTTTATTAACTGACTACTAGTTGACTGTTAACTGTTACAAACCTTTTTTCAAGTAATAGAGTTAATAAAACTAATTTTATAAGATTTCGTTAATTCTGTTAATTGGTTATTAGTTGACTGTTAATTAATAAAAATCTACTTTCAGTTAACAGAATTAACAGTCGCTCTAAACTGAGGGTTATTTTCTCAAATTTTAATAGGTAAGGGGTTAAAACTTACAAATCTAATAAGGTAAGGAGCTAAAAATATCATAATATAAGATGAGGAGCTAAAATCTTCAAATTTTGTAAGGTGAGAGGCTAAAAGTGAGTTTTTGCCTTAACCCTTTTCATTTGGAATTAAAATAAATAGTTTATTTAATTTATATTTTAAAAGTATAAGTTAATTTTAATTAATTATAATATTTTCATTTTACATTTTATATTTTATTTTTATAAATTTTAATATAAAAAGTTATATAAAATTAATTATAAATGTTACATTTAATGAGATTTAATCTTTACTTCTAAAAATATAGGTTAAAAAATACATCTAACTTGAATTAAGATTTCAAAATTCAGCTCCAATTTGATTTCCAGCAGCACCAGGTTTGGTCATTTCAATC